CAGCAGCAGCGGCGGCGGCGGCGGCGGCGGCGGCGGCGGCGGCGGCGGCGGCGGCGGCGGCGGCGGCGGCGGCGGCGGCCGCGTGGTGACACCGACAGGTCTGCGCGCAGCTGTCGGCGCGCGCGCGCCGCACTTCCGGGACCACTCGCAGCAGGACGCGGCCGAGTTCTTCGCCGTCGCGGTGGACGCCCTCTCGGACGAGATGCGAGACATGTCCGGGACACGTCCGCGACATGTCCGAGACACGTCCGTGCATAGGTGGACGCCCTCTCGGACGAGATGCGAGACGCGGCAAGGGCGTCCGCCGCAAGATCTGCGGCGCCGGACGGCGCGGCCGCTTGCCCCTCTCCCCGCCGCCTCCCTCGCCGCCGCTTTCCTCCCCGCCGCTTCCCTCGCCGCCGCTTCCCTCGCCGCCGCTTCCCTCGCCGCCGCCTCCCTCGCCGCCGCCTCCCTCGCCGCCGCCTCCCTCGCCGCCGCCTCCCTCGCCGCCGCCTCCCTCCCCGCCACGGCGTCCCAAGACATGCCCGAGACATGCCCGAGACATGCCCGAGACACACATCCCGCACCCGAGACACAGCCCCGCAGGCGCTCCTTTGAGGCCAGCCCTCACGGCTGCGGGTGGCAGCGGCCGGGCGGGCGCAGAGGAGGGCGAGTCGACGCTGCCGGTGCCGCAGAACTTCGGGGGTGAGGTGGGTCACATCTCCCCCTATCTCCCCATATCTCCCCCTATCTCCCCATACCTCGAGGCCAGATGCGGAGCACGGGTCACGTCTCCCCATATCTCCCCATCTCTCGTAGCCTGGATGCAAGAGTACGAAGGTGGTACTGGCCTGTGTGTCCCGACGAGCACTCGAGAGGGACGCGCATTCCTCTGTCACTCCGCCGTATCATCCCGCTGTAGCCAGCCAGTCAGTCTGACACACCTCCCAGCATGGAGGACGGGCCACACGCACACACACACGCTGCACACGATTGGCTCGGGGAGCCGACACGAGGCGCGCTGTCACCGGCCGTGGCACCGGGTCCGGACTGCTGGACGCACAGGTCACAGCTCACCGGATCCCGCCGTATTCTCTCGACTCGCAGCCCTCGCCTCCCCATATCTCCCCATATCTCCCCATATCTCCCCATATCTCCCCATATCTCCCCATATCTCCCCGCAGCCCTCGCCTCCCCATATCTCCCCATATCTCCCCATATCTCCCCATATCTCCCCATATCTCGCAGCCCTCGCCTCCCCACGGTGCTCCGAAGACACGCTTGCGCGAGAAGCGTGCTCCGCCCCCGAGACCTCGAGACCTCGAGACCTCTTGCCCCGCCCCCCGGCGCAGGTGCTCAAGACGATGCGCTGCTTCAAGTGCGGGCACGAGTGGCGGCGGTGCGAGCCCTTCTCCTCGCTCTCGCTCCAGCTGCCGGCGCCCGCGCCCGGCGGCCGCCGCGCGCCGCCCTCGCTCCAGTCGCTGCTCGAGGAGCACCTGGCGCCCGTCTCGCTGGAGGTGCCGCCCCGAGATTGCCCCGAGATTGCCCCGAGATGACCCGAGATGACCAGAGGTGACCCGAGGTGACCCGAGGTGACCCGAGGTGACCCGAGGTGACCCGAGGTGACCCGAGGTGACCCGAGATTGCCCTGAGATTGCCCCGAGGTGACCAGAGATGACCAGAGGTGACCAGAGGTGACCAGAGGTGACCAGAGGTGACCAGAGATGACCAGAGATGACCAGAGGTGACCAGAGGTGACCAGAGGTGACCAGAGGTGACCAGAGGTGACCAGAGATGACCCGAGATGACCAGAGATGGACCCGAGATGACCCGAGGTGACCCGAGATGACCAGAGATGACCAGAGGTGACCAGAGATGACCAGAGGTGACCCGAGGTGACCCGAGGTGACCCGAGGTTGTGCGACCACCAGGTGACGTGCGAGCGGTGCGGCCATGCGTACGCGGCGCTCACGCAGCACGTGTCGAAACTGCCGCGGCTGCTGCCGCTCCACCTGATGCGCTTCGACTACTCGAGGGAGCGGTGAGTTGGTTAGCTGGAGAGGCGAAGACACAGTCTGGCTGGGTTTGGGTACCGTAGGAGTAGGGGAGGCTGGGTTCGGGTACCGTGGGGGTAGGGGAGGCTGGGTTCGGGTACCGAGGGGTAGGGGAGGGTGGGTTCGGGTACCGTAGGGGTAGGGGAGGGTGGGTTCGGGTACCGTAGGAGTAGGGGAGGCGAACTCTGGCCAGTGGCCGGACAGCAGGGCGGTATGGGTGGGAGACCAGCGAGGCGGAGAGACGGCCGCATTGGAGCGACACACGGGCCACACAGGCTAGACGCTCCGCGGTGGGGAGGAGTTCGCGTCGAGGTGGTGGACGGGGGATACCCCCTTGGGGGGGGCACGTCCTGCTCTGTCGACGGGTTCATTGATCAATCCATAGGCTCCTCAAGCGCTCCGACGCCGCCGCCGTCTCGACCGCGCTCGACCTCTCGTTCGCGGCGCATAGCGAGACGGCGCCGCCGCCGCTCGCCTCGCCCAAAGCCGTCTCCCGAAGCCATGCCGCCGCCGCTGCCGCCGCCGCCGCCGACGGCCACCGAGCCTAGACGCGGAAGATCTCCCCCTATCTCCCCGTATCTCCCCCTATCTCGGGCCAAGACGCGGAAGACGGGCTCCTCTCCTGTTTCCAACTAGCACTCGAGAGGAGACGGGTTCCGCCGTCTTCTGCCGCCTCCCGCGGCATTCAGCGTATTCGCAGCCCCGTGTGTCTCCACGCGGTGCTGCTAGTACACTGCTGCGCGAGACCGCCCTCCCCTACCCCTACGGTACCCGAACCCAGCCCTCCCGCCCCGACTTCGGCGTCTCCCGGCCGACGGCGCTCCTCGCCTAGCTCGAAGGCGTTCAAACACGAAGTGACGTTCGGCGTTCCCCGTGGCGTAGGCCACCGAGCGACGACGCCGGCGACGGGCGGCGGGGCGGAGCACGGCAGGAAGCGCTCCCTCGCAATCACGGGGCCGTCCCCGCACGGCGGCGGCGGCGGCGGCGGCGGGGGCGGGAGTGGCGGCGGCGGCGGCGGCGGCGCAGTGGGCCACCGAGGCGCGGAGTTCCAGCGCGGAGGAGGCGGGCACCACCAGCGCGGCGGACGCCACGGCGCGCCGACGTCTGCGGAGGCGGAGCGGGCGATGCTGGACGCCGCGCTCGCAGCGTCGCTGTCGGCCGCCGCCGCGCCGGGGGGAGGGCAGCAGTGGCGGCCGCCGGCCGGCGTCATCCCCCTCGACGACGACGACGTCTCTACGTGGGACGTCTCCTCTGTCCAGGAGCCGGAGCCTTGCCCCTCCCGACTGCCGGCTATGCCTCTCCTCCTCCCGCCCGACCCGGCGGCCCCTCGGCCGCCCCCGCCCCTCGCCTCTCGGACCTCACCCTCGCAGCGTAACGCCTCGCGGCTCTCTCCCTCGCCTCTCTCTACCTCTCTCTACCTCTCTCGCTCGCTCGCTCGCTCGCTCGCTCGCTCGCTCTCTCTCCCTCCCTCCCTCGCTCCCTCCCTCGCTCCCTCCCTCGCTCTCTCCCTCGCTCTCGCTCTCGCTCTCGCACTCGCTCTCTCTCGCTGCGCGCCCGCGCCGAGGGCTGGGGTTCGGTCTTGGGCGCGTAGGGTACCCCACCCCCCAGGGAACCCGACCCCTCACCGGCTGCTCGGCGCCCCGCCAGGAGGCCGCGGCGGTGGGCGGCACGGGCCGTGGCAATGGCCGCCGCAAGCGCAGCCGCGAGCAGGAGGAGCAGGAGGAGCAGGAGCAGTTGGACGCCGCGATCGCCGCGTCACTTGCCGACGTGCGCGGGGGTGCGGCGCCCGACGCTTCTCCGGAGGGCGAGGCGCGCTCGCCCGCGCGCGGGCCCGTGCCGCCCCCGGAGGCGTCCGCTGCCGACGCCGCCGACGGGGCGGGCTTGCGGCGCAGCACGGACGGTCTGGAGAGCAGGGTGGGCAAGCTGCAGCGGATGGTGGCGCCCGCGGGCGGGCTGAGCCGCGAGCGCGTGATCCGCGCGCTCGAAGACAACGGGCACAGCCTCCCCTCGGCGCTCGCCGCTCTGCGGGCGCAGTTTGCGGCGCAGGCCGCGGGCGTCGGCGCGTGCTCGCTCCTCGGCGTGCCTGTAGACACGCATCCACACGCCTCAGGCACACTCCCCGCGGTAGCTCGCACAAGCCAGGGCGCGCTGGGGCCAACCACCCTGCCGGTATCCACCCACGCTCCTCACCACACACCCTCACGCCCTCGCAGCCGGCACCGCCAGCTCCGCTGCCGCTGCCTCGGGCGGCCCTGAGGCGGGTGGCGGCCCCGACGGCTGCGAGGCCAACCCCGTCGACCTGGACTCGCCGACGCCGCGTGCGACGGCGCCGCCCGCCGCCACGCCGATCGCCTCCGCCTCCACGCCCGCCGCGACCCCCGCCGCCACCCCCGCCGCCACCCCCGCCGCCACCCCCGCCGCCACCCCCGCCGCCCCGTCCCACGCTTCCCCCGCCGTGCTTCCGGTCGCGTCCCCCGCCGACGGCAATGGTCCCAGCCCCGCTGCCGCCAGCCCGACCGGCACCGGCACCGGCAACGGCGCCTCCACCACGGGCGCCTCCCCCGCCGCCGCCGCTCCCGCCGCCGCCTCCCCCGCCGCCGCCACTCCCGCCGCCGCTCCTGCCGCCGTCACGTT